ACCTGGTCTTGCACATCTGTTTTGATCTTAGTATTTTCACTATGGCAAATAAAGCCAATAAGTACATTTGTGAATAAATCCTTGTGTAGACACACACCTCCATGTCTTTCTTTGGGGTAGAAGTCTATGAGTGGCTGGGTTGTGTGAATATGTGTGTTTAACTTTTAAAAACTAAACTGAAAACTGCTTTCTGTTTCGGGCATGGTTGCAACTCCTGCCAGAACCACCTGACAATCTGGATGTCTCACATCCTTGAAAGCCATTGACAATACCTTTCTCTTTCATTTCAGCCACTCTGGAAGGTAGAGGGGGTCACACTATGATATGAACTCGTAATTCCCCCCTGACTCATGATAATTAAGTCTTTTCAAACTTCCTGTTTGTATTTTCCTGAGGGGTGCATCAGTTCCACTGATGCAGCCTCTGCTATGCTGGGTTATCTGTTTCTAGGTTGTGAGTGTTCTGAATATGCCCCAGGCATTGTTGTCACTTAAAAAATATTTATTTTTTTATTATTTTTGTAATTACATATATTAGTATTTCTGTGTATGGTATGTACATGTGAGTATAGAGTCCAGAAGGGGGTGTGGGGACCCCTGGAGCTGGAGTTACAGATGGTTATAAGCTGTCTGAGGTGGGTGCTAGGAATCACACTCAGGTCCTCTGCAAGAGTACACTGTGAGCCAGCTTCCCAGCCCTCGGTTCATTTTTTAACTGCGTCATTTCAAAGTTTATTGGATTTTTTTTTATAGTTTGTGCTGGTTTGTTTTGTTTTGTTTTTGTTAATGAAACTGGCCTGGAATTGATTATATAACCAGGCTGGTCTGGAGTTCACAGCGGTCCTCTTGCCTCGACCCCCAGGATGCTGGGTTATAGTGATTATAAGCTACCACATGTGGCTTCATTTATGCTCTTTAATGTCTCATCTCAGGAAGGTCACATAGCTCAGTATTGTGGAAAGTACTGTGACCTTGTACCCCACCCAAAGTCTCAGGAACTTCTAGGTCAGTGAATCACACACTGGACTCTGCTGCTTCAAAAGGTAACTTCCAGCCCCAGGAAAACAGAACAAAGAGGCCCACGTGTGTGTGAATAGGGGCCACAACATAAAAACAGCAGCTGTCTCCAGCTCCACGGTAGCCACCGCCTGCTCACTGCTGTCCCTAACAGTTTGAAGAGACAGCAGGGTCTGCTGCTGCCCAGCAGAGCCATCTCAAGTCCATGTGACCAGTGGGTCCACAAGATTGATGGTTACATTTAAAAAATTCACACAGACCTGGAATCAACACTAGAAAATACAGATTTAAATTAGCAAGGAGAAGACAGAATCAAAGGAAATAAATTGTGCTGGCAACTACTGTCACGTAATAAAATGTCATCTGTAACTGAAGGGCTTTTGTTCAAGGCTGTCTGAGGCTCAGTGGCCATGTTAATTGAATAAGGTGCCTCACACTGACTCGGGGGCAAGAATGAAATTTCCCTTAGCATCTATTTAGCTGGAGTTGTTGGCAGCGGCCCGATGCTCATCTGTTACAGAGCCTCCATCCCCTCTGCACTGATGTAATAGCTCTAGAAGCAGCTTCCAGCCCCAGGCTTGCAGGCACAACCTGTCTCCCCAGGGCAGGTCCTGACAGGTCCTGAAGGAGGAACGCTAGGCAAAGGTTCTCCAGGGCTTACAAGCTAGCTGCACTGATGCCTTTCCATTAACCAGATGTTGGAAAAAGTGTTATCTGAGTCAAGAAACAATTATTGGTGACTCATGATCCCCAATACTTCCAAGGAGAGGGCGGCTTGCCCTCTAGGTTTCCTGGTCATTAGGGGGATGTCTCCATAGTCACTGTCTGTCTGTGGGGTGGTGCCTTTGGAGTGTACTCCTGTGATCCCACTGTTTCTGTTACACAATGGGCACCAGCAATGGTTACCTCCTAGGATAGGTTGGTGGTAGGTCAAGCTGTGCAGCCCTTGGTCCAGCTGCAGAAGAGCCAAGTGACTAGACTGGTCCCTAATGAGGAGGTCCTGTCCCTTCCATCTTGGCTGCTATGATCTTGTTCGGATTTGTCAAGCACCTGCAGCTGGCAGGTCTAGTTTCAAATGTAGAAACTAGATTTTTCCTGTTTCTCAGGGTACTAATAATGACAGCATAGTTCATCTAGCAACCTCCTAAGATTTGTACAAAGGCCTTGAACTATTTCACCACACAGTTGTACCACAACTGCAACTGTTCCCCCAATGTCTGACAACCTTGGCTTTACAAGCCATGCCACGAGAAGAGTATATACTGTGTATATAAAGTTATCCTTGAATCAGAGGGAGCTGCGTTCTCCAAGCCATTAACCAGCCCAGTCCTGAGGATGAGAAGGAGGCAAGTGGGGAGCCTTGCTGGAAGATTCCCAAAATTATCTGTAATTACAAGTCAAAATCAAATGTATTCATTCAGCAAGTCCTAGACAACTTTACAGGCTTTGTTCTCAGCACTGGGGGTGTTAAGGGGAGAAAAAATGATGCATATCAAATTCTGCCCCACACAGGGAGGGCTGTGCAAGGAGCAAGGTGGGTGGCATCATTAAAAAGAATTCCTGGGAGGGGGCTTTTCAGGGGTGGCCAAAGTGGATGTTGGTGGAGTGGCCTGGCCTGCAGAAGCTGACCTCTGGAGAGCTGCAGAAGGATGGTTCTGGCAGACAGAGCAAGTGCAAAGGTCAGGAGCAGGTTTGAAAGCCACCGGAATAGGGCCCAAAAAGCTGAAGCTGGGATTGGCAGATGTGAGTGTGGGGGCCTGGGCTGAGCCAACAGGACCTCACAGACAGGGGGTTCAGAAGTCTAAGGCAGAGGAAAGTCCCCCATGGGTTTTGCATTGGCTGTACTCTCAGGCCCTTAGGAACCAGGATTCCAGGATGGTAGCAACTTAAGGAAGAAAGGGCTTATTGGGGCTCACATTTTAAGGGTACAGTCTATCTTGGTGAGGAAGGCATAGGCATAGGGGCTGAAGCAAGGGCAGGCCAATTGAATTGCCTACACAACATAAAACACACTGTGTCCATAGTCAGGAAGCACAGGAAGGTGAGTGCTGGTACTCAGCTTACTTTCTCTTTCTTGTTCGATCAAGGACCCAATCCCATGGGATGGTGCAGAGCACAGTTAGGGAAGGGCTTCCCACTTACACCTAGTCTGGAAACTCTCTGACATGCCCAGAGACTTGTTTCCATGGAGATTCTAAATCCCATCAAATTGACAAGATTAAAGGGTTCGATCATGTTCACTAACTGGTTCGATGGCACCTGCTCTGCTCGCATTGTGACCTGTGCCTGCCACTCATCTCCTGGGTGCTGTCCTTGAGACTGGATCCCAATCCAGTGGCAGTACCCTTGACCCACAGAGGGCCAGGCCACTAGCTGCCCATCTGTGTACTGTGCACTGCCGCTTATTGGGATTGATATGCTACTGTGTGGCAGGGATCTTGAGTCTGTGGCATCTCTGGCTTCAGAAACATGGCCAGGACACAGCCATCCTGCCTGAGTGACCTCTCTCCATCCTGACTCAGCATAGCTTTAAATAAAGTTGCCAGTCCCTCCCAAAGACATGGGGATCTGCACTGTCTCTCACTCCCAAATTCTTACCCATGTTGCTGTTTTGAGACCTGTTTCCTCATGTGTGAGTCATCATCGTCTGGAGGGTGGATCAGGCACTGGGTGCGAGGCTGTCGCCCTGCATCTGACACTGGGAATTGCAACTGAAACTCCTCCAGACTCGGCTCCTCTTGCCTGAGCCCTGGGGATCTGTCCCCTCAGCCCTGTGTCTCTTCTTCTAAGAGAAGAGCGGATGCAAAAAATGTAGAAACTTGATTTCAATTTAACACTTGTCTGCTGAGTGCCTCCTCCCTTAAAGCCTTAGTTGGGCCCATCTCTGAGTCCTCTTTGTTCCACATTCCCTCACCCCATGTATATAAACAGAAACTTCTTTCTCCCACTGTGATCCTGCACCACTGCCTTCTTCCTTCACCTACCTGCTTCCTTCCATGTCAGAGAGGCATGGGGCACAAGCCCCTTTGGGAAACTCCATACAGAGAAGTGCAATGCCTGTGGTAGCAGCCATTGTTGCCACAGAAAGACCAAGAGGATTAAGTTCAGCACTTGATTGGTATTCAATAATTGCTCTGTGACAAAAACAAAACAAAACAAAACAAAAAAAAACCTGTCCTAGCAAATAGGGTACAAAGTTGACATCTGCCTCTGCTGTTAAGCGTATCTAGGCCCTGAGAGAGCATTCAGGCAGTTGAGGAAGGCCTTGAAGGATAAACAGGAATTCTGTGGTGATTGCCCCAGCAGCATCTTTGGGTTGAGTAATAGCTGGATATAGCCCAAGCACAGGTGACTGAGCAATTCTACACCAGACCCAGACATCCCTCCAGAAAGTTAGTGGTTCTGCGTTTCCAGACTTGCTGGGCCCTTACTACTTCCCCCATCAGCATAGTTCTCCTTGGCAGTGTTGTCTGAAGGCAGCCATGATCGTGTTGATTGGGGACTTGCTCTGAACATAAGCTTACTTCTACTCTGCTTATAGGCCCACAGCCAGCTTTGTGTGCTTATGGGAGCTGTTTTCCATGAGCACATTCTTTGTTCTCTGTGCTAGGGGTACCGGGCACAAGTGACTCAAAGCAAGGTGCCATGCTCACTGCCAGCGGTCTCCTACCTAAGAGTCCTAAGAATCCCCTAAAGCCTGTGGTGGGGTATTGGAGCCACTATCCCAGCTTGGGTGTTTTGATCAGACTGATGTGTTCCATTCTGAGCCCTGGGCCAGGCTGCCAATCTCTGTGGAATGCCATGTAGGATGGAAGAAAATGGCTGCTGGTTCCTTGAGAGGGCCAAGGCTTTGGGAGAAGATGGAGGCTATGGAAGCCCCTGCCCTGGCCATTCCATACTGCTTTTCCGTATGGATGGCATCACATGCGCTCTGAGGGGCCACTGCACATCCTTGTAACTGCCTTTCTCCCCTGTCTCTCTCAGGCACATCTCACTAACACTGCCGGCTACCTTCCGAGGCAGAAACAACACCAGCACAGACTATGAGTACCAGCTCTCCAATCTGTACGCCATATCAGGTATGCAGGCCACTGCAGCAGGCCAGTGCAGAACTGTGCCTGCGGCCACCTTCTGCATGCTGCTGTGTCTCCTCCCGCACCAGAGGCCTGTCCCTTCCCTGCAGGACCTGGCCTTCCCTTTCCTTTGTGTTGGAACTTAGAGAAAGGCCAAATGGCATGTCTGGAAGCTAATAATGAACAACGTGTGGATTTCTCAGGATGAGGGTAGGTTGGGGGGCACTCACCATATCCTTCACCAGCCAGCCCAGGCAGCCCCCCTGGACACACAGAGCCCTGCCTGCCATGTTCCTGCCTGTCTTCACCTTGCGTTTCTCACAGCCAGTGTGTCCAGCGGGGACGCAGCCTGTTCCTCCTTGCTCACCCAGAGTCCGTGTCTGTGGTTTTTGAACTCAGCCTGGAGATGGATAGTGTTACTGCGACAGGAACTTCGCCAGGGAGGAGAAATGGGGTGGCTGCACTGCAGCACCAAGATTCATGAGGTGCAAGGCTGTACAGGTGACTCGCTAAGAGCCCAGGAAACCCACAAACGCCTCCCATTGCTGAGTCCCCAGAGAGGGGTGTTTGTCTTTCAGGGGAATGTGGTAAGTCGGTGCCACTTACCAGCACACATCCTTAATGCTGAGTGACATTTTGAACATGGGAACATGACATTCATTCATGTCCCATAATGAATCAGTTATTTAAAAGGTAATCTCTCTCCCCCCCCCTTTTTTTTTTCTAAAAACTGCAACTTCGGGTTACTAAATAGATGAACTCTAACAGTGGCATAATTCTTGTCAGTGCTCGTTTCTCTCATTATGATCACTCCCTAATAGGTTTGGAAGTGAAAGCAAAGGCAGGTTGTTCCATTTCTGGGTGACACTCCTGCTGGGAAGGGGAAGCCCAAGTCCCAGCCCTTGGCTGTGCTCCAGGAGCCAGGGTGGAAGGGTAGTGTGTGTCTAAGAAAAGCATCTCTGGGGAGCACTGCTTCTGTACCATGGCTATTTCAGGAAGAGTCATCAGGGAATGTAACAAGGGTGGCAAGATGGCCTGTTTCATAGGAAATCTGACCATTTCCCAGATTCTCAGTGGCAGAGTGGTACATAACAGGGCTGAAACCCAGGTCCACTCCCCTCAGACCGTGCAGGGGGAAATGTCCTTGCACGCCTCTTTTCTTCTGCAGCTTGCAAATCTCATGGCTTTGGCACTGAGCTGCACCCACCATCCCAGAGTCCTCTGATGGCTTTTCCAGCTGTTGATGCTGCCACAGCAAATGGCCCACAGGACACGTGCTCTGGTCTGGGAGGAATGTTACCGTCTGGTCTGGACCACTGCTTCCTCAGTGCAGCTTTGAGGAAGTGTTGACTGGGCTCATTTCAGCTGCTGGTTTAGCAATAACAAAGTAACAGCCTCAGGATGCAGGGGAAACGGGTCAGAAACTTCCTGTACCATTTATGTATGTGACAATCTGTGGGATTTTTTGTCTTCAGAGGTAGTTGAGGTTCCAGCCCAGGCCACAGCCGGCTCGGGTCTCCTCAGCAGCTGCAGGCACCAAATCACTCTGCTCTGAGCTGGCTCTCACAGTGCCTCCAGAAATACCGAGCAGGCCCTGGGGGCTCCAGAAGGCCTGCAGACTCACCATGGCAACTAGTGAGGAGAGGGGGACTGGGAAGTCCATCCACCCCCTTATTTATACGGGCTGCCTGCCCCTGTCTTGTTCCGACTCAAGGGCACAGAGGCAACCTTGTCATGCCCACACAAACACTATCTGGAACCAAATGGTATGTATCTAGTTTGTCGTGAAATAAGGGTTTCCAGAGGCTTAATCTAAAAGCAGTTAAGATGGCATGTGCCCCAACCAGCCAACCCCCGTGCTGATTCCTCACAGTAGGAGTTCTGCAAATCATGACATGAGTCATCAAACTATCTCCTCCCAGCACAGATCACGTCACTCTTCCAGTACTGAGCCTTTGCTGTAAACTTCTAGCATGTTCTCTGTGGTCCCTGAAGGTAGCCATAGCCATCCAATAGTTTATGGCCTTCCTGAGATAAGGAGATGTCAAAACAATGGGACTAGAAATGTAAGAAGCAGCCCCATAGAACACATGTGGGGATGTTTACTTCCCAGTGTTTGTGCAGTGCACTGAGTGGAAGGATCCCTCCTTCCTGAGCCATGACCGTGTCCTTCTGCCCCGGGCCTGCATTGAGAGCCTGAGCTCAGAGCTTCTGTGGCAGCAGAAGAGGCCATGCAGGATGCTGCCAGGCAGAAGGGAAGTGCTGAGCCAGCACCTGTTCTGCCCAGGAACACAGGGTGAGTTCCCTTCAGTCCATAGTCACGTGACCTGCTGCCCATATGCTTCCAGGTTCTAGGGCCACCCCATCTGCCAGCTTGTTCCTTGTCTGAGGCCTCCCTTCACTAAGCCAGGCTCTGTGCTTTCATAGCCATCTAGTGGGTTTTGGTGCTGAGCGCTCATCAGGCTCATTGGCCATGATCTACCCAGTCCAGAGGATATTTCTTGTTCATGGAAATGGGTGAGAAACTCATTGGCTCAGTGGTAAAATCCTGAAATGTTTATATTCCTTCTGCTGCCATCTTGACCTCTTAAGAAAAGCCATGAAGCAGTCATTTGGTCCTCATTCTTCCTCTCCTGGGACCATCTTCTAGAAAATTCTTACAGATGTGCAATCTCACTTATCAAAAGGAGAAGGGGAGTACCCACCAGAATGAGGACTGTTGGTTTTTAAAATCATATTCTGAAGCTGGGAGAGAAGGAGGGTGTGTTGGTATCTCTTACTTATCCAAGGCAAGGCTATCCTACAGCTGCTTGTCCCGTGGCCTGGCTTTTTAGCTGGCCATAAATGAAGGAAAAATATACGCTTGGTTGCCAAGTGAGAAGAAAATCTAGTTGAATGTTCAGTGTGATCTCATATTTAAAATGTGAGTTCTAGAAAGAGCCACACCAATATGCTTAAGGCACTTTCTTGTTACCGTGTGTGAACCGTGGCCTGTGCTGCTCTGACTGTCCCCTCTCATGCTATCCTGTTCTGAGTGAGTACCATATGACCATCTTGTCTGCTAGTACCTTTGAGATCTTAGCCCCTTGGAGGGCTCTTCTTGGCCTCAGTACCACAAGTGGATCTGACTAGATCATTCCACAACCTACCATAAGGCCTTTACCCAACTAGGATTTCTCTTTTTGAGCATATCTTATTTTTAAGCTACTTTAAAAATTTTTGTTTATTTTTATTTTATGTCTATGAATGTTTTGTCCAATGTGTGTGCATGCATTGTGTACCTGCCCAGTGCCCACAGAGGTCCGAAGAGGTGCCAGAAGCCGTGGAACTGGAGTTATAGATGGTTATGAGCCCAACCTGGCTGCTGGGAATTGAACCCAGGTTCTCTAGAAGAACAACCAGGGCTCTTAACCACTGAGCCATTGCTCCAATCCAACTTCTTTTTTTAATGAAAAGTCTTCTATTTTGGCATTTTAGCCTTGTCAGCAGTGACAAGGGCAGGCTCAGTGCCTAGGTTCTTTTTGGAACCTAGACTCAAGTAAAGCAGGACACACTTGAAACAACAACAACAACAACACATTTCAGGATGAGCCAGCAGAAGCAGGGTTGTAGTTTATTAAACTAGAAGGCCACCTCTAGAAAGAATAAGGCACACCCTGAGCACGGGATTGGGGGTGGGGTTCTCAGAGACAGTCTCAGCTCAACTCAGCATCAGCTGTAGATAGCACCTCAGTGGATCTTGAGTTAAGAAACCACCCCCTCCCTTTTTGATAAGTAAGATTGGTTTTAGAGTCTGAATGTTCCTTGGATAAAACTCAGAGCCACTTCATTCCCACAGAGGGTTTAGGATATCCTTTCACTGTAAGGGGCGTCCTGATGAGACTTCTAGAAAAGTAGGTTTCTGGGAAGTGTTGGAATTTTTGATGCTCAGCTGGTGAGAGCTTTCTTCCAGATCCTGCAGTGAGGGCGTCTTTCCTCACGCTGGCCACTGCATTCTCCCAGAGGCTGCTCTCTTTGTTTTTATTATAACTTTCTTCAGATATTTAGAGTCTGACTGTGCAGTAGTTTCTGTTTCACTTGGTCTAGGAGGATTTTAGGTAAAGCCCAAAATCAGCACAGATGTGAGAAGATAATAGTGTGTGGAAATGAGAGTGGAATGATGGCTGCAGCTGTCTGGCTGTCTGCCAGGGGGTTCTGGGTTTGGCTCTGAGTCTTGGGTAGGTAGGATCAAAAGGGCTGCTTGTTTGGGGAGGTGCTAAGTTTCCTTTCTCTCGATCACGGAGAATAATCTTTCCTCCCAGAGCGATGCAAGTAGAGGACAGTTCCATGTATACACCCTGGATAAAATGAGCAGGGGCAGCTCGAAATGTGTGACTTGCAGCAGCCAGCGTGTCTCTTTAGTTCTGCTCTGTGTGTAAGAAGCTACCCCTTGAAAGTCTCAGGTTCCCCAGGCGACTTTGCATATGGGTGAGAGGACTATAAATATTCATGTGGGTGGGACATTCAGTTCTATTCTTACCACACCCCCAACTTTCCGTGCCAGCGGTGGCATTAGATGAGAGCAGTCCATGAGGCCTGTTCATGCGGGTGTCCATTCTTGGTTGAAATGGCCTCCCACACACCACTCCAGGTGTCTGCCAGGAGAGGCACAGCTATAGTGGAGCACTCCCGTGAGGAGGGGCCTCCATGTCACTTTCCTAACCCAGGGTGCTTCTTCAGCTCCATGGCAGATGTGCCTAACGAGCAAGCCCCCAAAGCGGTGGAAGCCACGCTGCCCAGGCCTCTGTTGACTACAGTTACAAGCTTCACAAAATCGCCTTTTAAAAATATTATTTGAAATTAGATATAATTAGTGTCTTCCTACCTTCTCTCCAATTGCCTTTTAAACCCCAGAAAAATTCTTTTTTCTTTTCTTTTTTTTTTTTTTCCAAGAAAGGCTAAAATTCAAGTTTAAGGTAGTAAAATTAAGCAAACACTCATGAGAACTGGCAAGAGAGGAAACCCGA